AGCTGCGCATCACAGAAATAAATTACAGTTTAATGTATATTAAAACAGAAAAACTTTATTTTACGTTGTAATAATATTTCACTACATAACTTTTTCTGTATTTTTGATCAAATAAATGCAGCCTTGATGAGCTTAAGAAACTACTTTTAAAAAATATATAAAAAATCATTCTGATCCCAAACTTTTGACCGGTAGTGTATATACCGATCAGGTATATGACCACCTTCCTAATATTGTGTTGGTCCCACTTTTGCTGCCAAACAGCCCTGACCCGTCGAGGCATACACTGAAGGTGTGCTGTGGTATCTGGCATGTTAGCAGCAGATCCTTTAAGTCCTGTAAGCTGCGCGGTGGGGCCTTCATGGATCGGACTTGTTAGTTCAGCACATCCCACAGATGCCCGATCGGATTGACGCAACAAACTGCGATGCACTGTGTATTCTGACAGCTTTCCATCAGAACCAGCATTAACTTCTTGAGCAGTTTGAGCTCCAGTAGCTCGTCTGTTTGTTCGGACCACACGAGCCAGCCTTCGCTCCACACATGCATCAGTGAGCCTTGGCCGGTTCACCACTGATCCTTCCTTGGACCACTTTTAATAGATAGACCGGGAACACCCCACAAGAGCTGCAGTTTTGGAGATGCTCCGACCCAGTCGTCTAGCCATCACATTTTGGCCCTTGTCAAACTCGCTCAAATCCTTACCCCTGCTTCTAACACATCAACTTTGAGGACAAAATGTTCACTTGCTGCCTAATATATCCCACCCACTAACAGCTGCTGTGATGAAGAAATAATCAGTGTTATTCACTTCACCTGTCAGTGGTCGTAATGTTATGCCCGATAGGTGAATATATATATATATATATATATATATATACACACACATGTTAATTTATGACAATTTAGATAAGAAAATCGCTTACATTACAATTGCACTTAGCAGTACCGTATTTGTTATTGTTTATTAAAAATACATCACTGATTTTTTCCCCAGTCTTTGTTTTACATTGCACATCATTTACTTAACAAATTATATAAATCTTACTAAATGCATCTACTTCCCTCTAAATTGTATATGTCCGTTTTTCCAAAGCAAGATGACTTTTTACTTTGTTTTCACTATGTTTTGAGATAAACCTTTCTTTACATAAACTGAAATCAATTTAGAATAAATGCAAATAAGTTTGGTGACACACACAGCTGATCATTTGTTTCTGTGTTTTCATTCAATTCAGCTCCCAGCGATAAAGCATGCCAATGCGACCTAATCACAACATCTGAATATGAGAAGTCTTTCTAATATGATGCATGATGTGTCCAGATGAGTGTTTGTCAGCGGGAGGATGCAGATCTGACTCTCTGTCTCATCATTACTGTCACACTTACCGGCGACCGCGTTATAAAGCGCTGTAAGCTGCCCGTCTGACGCCTCCTTCAGCATCTTCACTAGTTCACACACGGGGACGACCTAAAGAGCTCGCATTAGCGTGAAAGATCGGCTCGATTCGGGTATTTCTAAGCCGCTGTTTCGCCCGGGTCTGCCAGATCCACATGGGCCGCGCACAGCTGGGGAACTGTGTTACACTCACAGCCTTCCGCCGCGCTGCATCGTGATGACATTTGGTTCCGCTACTAGAGAGTTCCAATTAGACCAACTCACCATGGTAACGATAAGTCCTTCTGATAATAACCTTCTGTACAACAGTGCCTGACTAATATAACACTACAGTTTTATAGGAGTTACTAGTCAAACTATGGCATTTTGCTAGAAATTATGGCAAATTTATTTATTGTTATATGCATTTATTTATTTTATATGCAATAATTTTAAACAAGCTTAAAAATTAGAATAAGGCTTTGATTTTCTACAACTTTTACTCATTACTGAATACTGTATACTGTAATATGGTATTTACAGAAAAGGTACTGTAATACAATTTTTTTAATTAAATAAGCATGAATTAAGGATATAGGATATATAAATGCAATGTAATTTAAATATCATATTTGCAGTATAGTAATAAAAACAATATAGGAAAAAATCTGAAATTATAGATAAATTATATGAATAAATTATTACTACTACTACTATTATTATTATTATTATTATTAATACCCTATAAGGATTTAAGATGCCAGCTGAACGATTAGAATTGGCAGTATTTGTCTCGTGATTCATCAGAAAATGCCATTTTAATTGATCACAATTCACATTATTCTTCCATGTGATACAATCTTTATTGACGAATAAAAATATCCATTATGAACATCTGTACAGATTTCAGTAAACAAACAGAAACTGTTGGCATCTCAGAACAGGTAAGAGACAGTCTGACTCACAAACCTGTAAATCTACCAAAACCCCCCTCAGGCCGTCTGTAGTTTACAGTTCACGCCTCACATAGCATCAGTATGTGGAAACCCCAAACATTATTAGACTGTACATCTCGTGTGGCGAATAACTTCACCATAACACTCCGGTTTTTTGTTTTAATAAAGGACGTAGTCCAAATGTTTTAGGAAATGTACATTTAGTTAGTTTTGCTGTTGACACTTCACATCTCAGTGTAATCTAAAGGAAAGCGTTATGTGTACAACCGCTCAATCCAAGCGAACGGCTGGCACTGACCTGTTCGTTTTCACATATCAAAACACATCCGCAACACACACAAACTAAACATGAGCTGGAGGGACGTGTTGGGGTTCAGTGGGATTACAGCAGATCTGAGATCAGCCCACTCACAGCCTTCTGGAGAGATGCATTCAGAGCAGCATCCAGCAACAAATGTGCATCAGTGTTTCAAACTAAAAACAGTGACAGTACAATGAGTTGTTAAAAGTTTCAAAGGAGGAAAAAGGCACCCAACCCTCACATCTGACAGATATTCAAGGCTTTGCTGGTGCCAAAAATTCATTTGGGTTAATCTCACGAAACATTTACAGCTCATATTTCGTCTTATATATATATATATATATCATTTTTAAAATGGAAAATGCAGCCTATTCCAATGACCATTTAGATTTTTTTATATTGTGATCTATAAAGATATAGATTTTTTTGCATAAAGAAAATTAAATCTATTTTAATGACTTAATGAAATATTTAATCTCCCTAAAATGCATACATATATAATTTTTAATAGGAAAATGAAGCCCATTTCAATGACCAATTAGATTTTTATTCCCATTTTTAATTGTGATACTTATTAGATTTTTTATTGAATACAGTATTTACTGTACAAAATAGTTAAATAAGCATGAATTAAAGGCAGTAAAACAAATAATATACAATATCATTTAAATAAATAATAATAATAAAAAAAAATTGTGCATTATAGTAATAATAAAATAGGAAAAATGTGTCATAGAAAATTCTAATGGTCTTAAAAATAGGCTGCTTTATCTTTAATTATATATATATATAATTACATTTTTGTAGTGAAATAGGACCTGTGCATGTTCTTGACTGGCTCCGTGAGATTCGCCCGTAAGCATTTTTTATTTTCTCTGACAAAATTCACAGTTCTGTTCTTGACAAAATCACCTAAAGAAAGACCTCGTAGAAAGAGTTAAGAGCAGAAAAGATTAATACATTTGCATTGTAGTTAAAAAATGTCCTTTCTATTAGTTTTTTTTATGTCTATATAGTTCTTTTAAATTTTTTTATTTAGTTATTTTAATGCATTAAGTTAAACTAATGAAAATGATCATGTTTCCTGGTATAAAGTAAGTTTAAGGTTTTATTTTATTTCAGTTAAGTTTTTTTATGGTTTTAGTTTTAGTTAACGATAATAACTCTTTATAACCACCTTTTTAGAAAATAGCAAGAATAAAACACAAACAAAATATAATATTAAAGAGCATTAGAAGGTTATACCTCACATAAAACATTAATTACAAGACCGCACAAATTAAATAATGTCTGCACTGCTTTCATGTGCTTTCTTTACTCTCTGACACAATCAACAAATATTAGATCAAAATGAAGTTGTTCAAGTAAAACATTCCCAGCTCCTTATTTTGAATTAGTTTTTAATTGTTATTTTTTTATATATTTTAAATTTTCATTCTTCAACCCCATTTCAACCTAGTTTAATTCTTGGTAATTTTATTATGTGCTTTTGCCATTTTGTTTTTTTACTTTAAAACGTTTTACTTCTTTTTAAATATTACTACGGTTTCATTTATTTTGTATTTCAGTTTTAAGTTTTACTTTATTTTTTTCCCAGCTAGTAATTTTAGTGCTTCAACTTAAACTTATTTCAGTTAGTTGCCAACATATCTACTTTTCATTTATTTTTTCATCTAATATTTTTATTGTATTTTCGGCTATCACTTCCATTAACAAAACTGTTTTTAACGATAATAACCCTGGTGTGAGTGACTTTTGACAGATGGATGCAGCAGAAGTGCAATTGTGACGGCACATCTTGCTCTCTGATTGGCTAATCCTCCAGCTGCTGGTCAGCCCTCAGGTGTGTCCTGCACTAAGAGGATTGTGGGATTGATTGTGGTGGCATTGTGACATCACATGCGTCTGTCAAGTTCATGACACCTGCTGTCACCTGGCATGTTCAGGGCCAGGCTAAGTTTTTTTAAAAATATGTGCCTCATAGCTGACAGTGAGGGACGGGTCACCTGCTCAAAGAGTTTGTGTTACAGAAACCACAAAAGAAAGCTTTCTGTACACAGGATTTTAATATATACATGTAGCATCTGAATTGGTTTGTGTTCAAAACACACTAACAGTTCTTCTGTTTACATGCAGTGCATTTAAAACCCAATTGTTTTCTTAAAACATGTTAGTTCAGTTCTGGTTTCCCACAGATAACCAGGGCCGGTCACACATGACCATAAGCTTAATGTTGTACAAAAGAGCTTGTTCTCAACAACTCAAATCAACCATGACCTGTGTGTTCTTGTCACTCTGTAATGAAGTACAGTACCATACAGTTCAAGAAAAGTGCATGACAATGAAACCTCTTGTACAAACAGATTTGAGAATCACTCGAACACAACCAGTAATTTAGTCCCATAATTCCACCCTGCCAAATCTCATGAAAAGACATGCATATCACATTTGACACTAAAACAACAATAAGAAGGATAATGTACAGTCAAACCAATCATTATAGCAAAATAAACTCTGAAATGGTGATCAGGACTCAAAATTGAGGGGTCTTGTTTCTTATTGCATGGCTGTTTACCAAATAAAAATCAGCCTGAAATAACTTACCAAAATAAATAAACAAGTAAATAATAAACAAGTTATTCTAGACTGATACATACATACATATATATATATTATTTATGACAATATACATTTATTCTAATTATTATTCTCACTTTTTACATTAGGAAATCAGCATTAAAGGCAGTAAACAAAAACTGTTGTGATGAATAATTCAGAATTTAAATATATCATTCATAGTTTTTCCTATAATAGATCATCAATGTATCATATATAATAGAATAAATAATTCACCTCTTCATAGTCTTAAAGTCAGCTTGAAATTGAAAACAAAATCTCCTTTTTATGATCCATTGATTCGGGATGGACATAATTAAGTCTGACCCAATTTTTTTGTTCAGAAATTCATCATCACATTTCTGTAGTAAAATGGATGGTGAAAGAAAGTCATTTCATGTTGACATGAAAAGGTTCTCAATGACGCATCAAGGACGTATGTAATCAAAACAAAGTGGGTGTAAAACATGAATCATCAGGTGTTTAATTAACATGACGAAATCACAGCCGCTTGAATCCAGCGGTCAGAACCAGAATGATCAAACACTAGAGCAAAGAGATGAAGTATCATGCTGATTTAGAGTTTAATGCATAAACATAAGAGATATGATATGATTTTTGCATGTAAACTCACTGCTGTCTTTCATAACAGGATAAATAGGATTATATTTTAAAATATAATTTTCTCCCCACACGACCAGAATTTTCCGGTTTCTGTGACTTTCACTCAATGTCACAGCAGCAGAGCACTATGTACTTATTACAAAGACAAACACCCTGGAGCAACCCTGGGGTTAAGCGTCCTGTTTAAGGACACACTGGTGCATTTCAGTTGAACTAACCAGCCTTAACCACTACACCACAAATACACCCAGACAAGGAACATTTATCAGCATTATCACCTAATAAAAAGTCAGGTGACTACAGTGAACTGTACAGTTGAAATAATTCTTGAATGCATACGCATGTGATTATTTTAGCAGTGGAATATCACAGACAGTTATTCTAAATCTGCTGTATGTTTACAATAACTCAGATTCTAGGAAAACAAGACTGTATTTAATAATAAACATGATGCTAAATGGAGGAAGGCAGTGACGTTTGTCCCAATTTCCCAGAACTAGGCTCATGTTTAAAACGGTTTGCATCATTGATTCGGTTATTTTCCTGTTTATTACTGTGACGCTGCTTTGAAACTATCTTTATTCTAATAGTGATTATTTGTCATTTATTTATTAATATTGATTATTTATTTATATTCTCTTGATTATTTAAGCTTAATTATTTGCAACATCCAAAAAGTAATCTCAGCTGCATTGTTCCAAACCTATGAGTTTCTTTCTTCTGTTGAACACA